GATTCACCCAGTATAAGTACATTATATGTATACAGGGTGTCACGAAAGGTTTGTTACAAACTTCTAGGGATGGCAGATCTCGTAAAAATAAAACTTTTTTCTTAGTAAACATGTATCCGGAAATGCTTCGTTTTCCAGATATACAGGGTGGCTCAAATTTGAGCTTTATCATTGGGATCTCGGTAACCGTAAGAGATACGGGGTCGGTTAAATTATGGCAAAGTTGCGCAATTTTATGACCAATAGAATACCGTTTTGAAACTAGAAAGATTCCGAATACTTCCGGAGATATTCGGAAAAAACCAAAATTTTGAAAAATCGTTTTTTTTTTTCCCGGGCTTATTTGAAAAGCAATTTTAAAATAAATGTCACTTGATCATTGTCACTTCTTCCCCTTTAGAAGATGGTGGTACTAAATTTAAAATTCGACGTTTCGTCTTCAGGCAGCCATCCTTAACTTACGTTTTTTCAAATACGAACCTTGATTTTTTTATTTGCGATTTTGTCATCTTTGGGTATCCTAAAACCGATATTGTTTATAATTTTTCAATAACACGGTAAAAAAGCAGGTCCGTATTTGAAAAACGTCGGATTTCAAATTTAATACTGCCATCTTGTAAAGAAGAGAAAGTGACAATGGGAATGTGAAATTAGTTTTTCAAAATCTTTTTAAATGAAATCAGGAAAAAATTTAAGAAAAACGAGAAATTAATTTTTTTTTCGTATAGTTTTCATTTTTTCCTGATTTTATTTAAAGAGATTGTGGAAAACTAATTTCACCTTGCCATTTGCCATTGTCACTATTTCTTCTCTACAAGTTGGTGGTATTAAATTTAAAATCCAATGTTTCGTTCCTCTGAAATCATCATTAATTTTTTTTTTTTCTAATACGGAGCTGCTTTTTTTGCTGTGTTATTGAAAAATTATAAACAGTATCGGTTTTAGGATGCGCAAAGATGACAAAATCGCAAATAAAAAATCCAGGTCCGTATTTAAAAAAAGGAAGTTGAGGATGACCGCCTGAAGACGAAACGTCGAATTTTAAATTTAGTAGCACCATTTTCTAAAGGAGAAAAAGTGACACCGATGAAGTGACATTTATTTTAAAATTGCTTTTCAAATAAGCCCGGGAAAAAATAAAAACGATTTTACAAAATTTTGGTTTTTTCCGAATATCTCCGAAATTATTCGGAATCTTTCTAGTTTCAAAACGGTATTCTATTGGTCATAAAATTGCGCAACTTTGCCATAATTTAACCGACCGGACCGTCTGTATCTCTTACGATTACCAAGATCCCAATGATGAGGCTCAAATTTGGACCACCCTGTATATCTGGAAAACGAAGCATTTCCGGACACATGTTTATTAAGAAAAAAGTTTTATTTTTACGAGATCTACCATCCCTAGAAGTTTGTAACAAACCTTTCGTGACACCCTGTATAATATGCATTTGCATATAAGGTGAAGTAAAATGAAACGACTCTTATTTCCAGTTTTTCAAAAACTCGTTTAAAAATAAGAAACCAAAAGACATACATAAATCAAATTTTGAAAATAAAACACAAAATAGAGAACATGGGGAAATTCCAAGCATATGTATAATAAAAATAGTAAATATAACAAAACGAGGTACATAAAAAACATTAATATATTCAAAAATCGTTTAAAAACGGAAATAAACATTTAGATACATCATGCACTGAATAAGAAAATATAAAAAAAAAGAAGAAAAATCCCTGTGAAGTAAAATAAAAGAGAAGTAAAGAGAAAACCAAATCCTAAAAATCCTTTCTGCGGGCCTTGTGGTTGGCAAATGACATAACTAATTCGGATACGTCTATATTTTTCCAATGGTAGACTAGGTATGTATTATGAGGTCCATAGGTTGAAGTATTTTCTTTTAGTTTAGTAGCTTAACACTTTCTTGTCACCAGGTCTAGGGCCCCCAAAACCACGGGGCCCCCTCGCGACTGCGGGCCCTTAGTTACTCCACTGTCATTGAGTATAAATATAAAATAATATGAATAACAAAATAATATCATTATAAAATAAACATTTAAGAAAGGGATGAGAGAAAACAGGCACTATCAAGAAACAATAGAAATGTCTTAACAATTTTCTTAAATATAATAAAAGTGAAACAGAAATAAAATAAGAGGAATTGAAAACAAGTGAAATAAGCCTAATTTTCAAATCAGGAAGCAAAAAAAAATATGTGCCATTACATACCAATTTGTGTCATAGGTATTTTTTCAAAATTGAGAAAATTGTTAGGAAACGAATCTTATCATTGGAATCTAGGTATAGGAATTACAGGTAGGAAGTTTGATTTAATGAGCAGCTTTCTTCAGGGTCAGGGTAAAAATCAATAGGTACTTATGTCAAAGTGAATAGCATAAGTAGCAATGGAAGAACAAATAAATTCGGCGTTCCTAACGATCTGTCCTCGGGCCATTGCTGTACTCCGGTACTCCTCTTAATATGTTCTTATCTTGAAATGTGCAAATCCTAAAGCACACTGTTCTACATTTGCAGATATTATGATGTTGCCTCGGTTTTAATACAGGAGAAAATGTAAATGAACTTTGTAGGGAAATCAACAGCGATCTTGTGAGATATCGTTGTACTGAAATAAGCTCAGAGTCAATATCGACTTGTGGACAAAACTAAGTTCATGGTTGGTATTTATCAAACAAGAAAATGAACATATAGAAAAAAACAATATTAAAACTAATAATATTGGAAGAAATTGCTAAAAACAACTATTTGGGTTTGGGATCAATTATTGTAGATGATAGGTTATTTTGAGCTGGGCATAAACAACATATAACTGATGTAGGGATCATCTAGCATTTAAAAAAGGTCAAGACAACGCTTTTGTTCTGTCACGTTCTGTCTCAATTCAAATATTTGCTCCCCATTTTGGGGAACATGCGGAAAAAAATATTACAAATGGGCTCTTTCACTAAAATTTAAATACGTAATTTAAGTATAAAATCTCAAAGGAGGGACTATTTTAGGCATATATACCAAAAAAAAAATGTTCTACAAGGTTCAATAAGTTTTTCATAGGCAATCAAAAGTGCCTAAATTCAAACTATTTTAAAACGCGCCGATTTGCCGACGTCACATAAATATTCTTCATTTCGCTTATGTCGTTGCAAGGAGGAAGGGCTCGGCTGTGTTTGCGCTCTGTAAAGATACGTAAAGGTTCGAATGCGCTGTTGTCGGTTGTGACTAAATGTAGTGCAGCGTAAAATAAATAAATAAAACTAAACATAAAAAATTGCATTAAATTGTATTTAAGCATAATTTAAAAAAAAAATGTTATAAAATCTTGAATCTATAACTAATTAATTTAACTATTTTTCATGAGATTTTGCCAACATTTCAGAATTAAATCTATTACAAATTTTCAATGTTGACAATTAGTGGCAACACGGTCAAATTGCGAGCTGCGACGTCATAGAAATAAATTCTGGGTTTTTATTTGGAGGTATTTCTTTGTTTTCTGTTTTCTCAAGAAGGACTTTGAATTTTTCAAAAGTAAAAATACTGAAAATTCTGTTTTTAGTTGCTTTATCCAAATATGCCAATTTCAAAAATTAGTGAAAGAGCCCATTCAAATGAGATATATTTTTACGAAATGGAGCAGTGTAAGCTTGTATGTGGACTATTGAAAAGGCACCAAAAATCTAATTAGTATATTGTAAATGAAGTACATAATTATAACAACAGGATTTCAAATTAGATACATATATTATTTTATAGAGTCCGAAACTAATATAGGTCCTCTTACTCAAGCCTCTAAAATAGGTAGCTACTTAATGAATCGCCTAAGAACACGAATTTAACGAATCTATTAAATTGTTTATTCGAACTGTTCAGAAACAATATGCGCTTGCACTAAATACTGGCTGATTAACAAGTCACAAAAAAGTATCAAGTTTTTATAGGAATCTCAATTATAGGCGGTGGCAACTTTATTCTATACCTAAGTAAATAAACGCCATCAAACAGCCGAAATAGAGCAAGTTGATAACATATTCCTGGACCTTCTGATATCTATCTAAGACAAAAAAACAGAAAAAAAAACAAGAAGACTAAAACCTAAAACAAGAAGAAAAACAGGAAAAAGAAAATAAGAAGAACCGGCTTGCAGCACTGTCACAACAGCAAGAAGATTGGAGACCAAGAAAAAAAGAGCCTGAGGAGATTATTTTTCGAAAGAAATACAAAAAGTCATTGATTTTAACGGGCGGAGGAAAACTGGCCAAACCTGGGCAGGCACCAAATAAACAGGTTAGGGACATGAAAGGGCACCAAAAATTCTCGTTGCAGGAATATTGAGCACGAAGTACCAAGTGCGTCGGGTACAGATAATAAAACAGCATACATTATTCCGATGTTGCTGACATTTTCTTTTACAATTTACGTTCATTTCAACTGCCTGCTTCCGACAATTCCTAGTATGTATAATTATTATGTTACAATAAAAATGTTTACACAAATTAAATGAACATAAAAACTTTCCTTCCTAATAAGATAACAATTCAGTGCTTCTAGATAAAAAGATAAGCAATAACTACATCTTGTTTTAAATAAATTTAAAATATCGGGTTGTACTTCATCCTCAATGATTGTTTTACTCTAGATGAGCTTAATGAATAGATTATTCTTACTAAATTTATTTAGAACAAAAAATTTCCCCTAGAACTGGTTCCATATTAAGGTGTGTACGGTGAACGGTCATATATCGGTAACTACTGGACTTAAAAATTAAGGAAAAATAATGATTCTTGATTGAAGTGGCAAATGAAAATTCCCACGTAAAGGTATCTTTAGTAGCATCACTAGAATTAGAAAGCTTGGACAATAACATTTTTCTCTAAGCATCATTGGACTTTGATAAGAGTGGTAAAAGCTTTGAAAATGCAGTAGGTTTAATCATTTCAAATTCTGTAACTTCTAAAAGGTATCCGATTTTAGTAAGCTTGAGCTTTTTTGGAAGGGTCATTAGTACGCAGGAATTATTGTTATAAGTAGGTAAGGCTTGGTAGACATCCTGTTAAAAAGTGAGAAATATTATATTATTCAAAACTATTTCCACCAAGTCTAATTTTTACACCTTTTTCTCTTTTTCTTAATAAAGATAGTTGATTCTAACAAGTAGTTGTGTAAGTAAGGCATTATGTATTATATTTCTATTAAAATTTCACTTTATTGTGACCAGAAAATATTGTGCGACTCAAATAGTTATATAAAATTTACGATTAATGTATTTCACTGTGTTTACTGGATATATAAGAAGTCGGTATTCGATACTGCGCCCGTGTCTGACTGTCCCTGTCCCTACTGTTGCCGTGGCTGTCCCTGTCCCTGCGCCTGTGCCTGTGCCTGTGCCTGTGCTTGCCTCTGCCTCTGATGCCTCTGCCCCAGCCTCTTCCTGCGCCTCTGCTTATGCTTGCCTGTGGCTGTAGCGGCAGCTGTGCCTATGTCTGTGCCTTTGTCTGTGCCTGTGCTTAGATCTGTGCATATGCCATCGATACATTTCAAATCGTCTTTGCAAAGCGTGGTAGGTAGAGGAGCTCCAAATAATAGTGATTCTGTATAGTTGCAATTCTCATTTTTTTCTATAACCAGAATAATATATATTCGAAAAAAACTGAAAAAAAAAAAACTGTTTAGGTACTTACCCAAAAGTGTATAGCAAACCTGGCAACAACCACACCAATTGCCCCATCCAATAAACTGATTTTCACCTTCGCAAATTTCTACTTCTGTGGGGCAATGAAATAATGTACCGCAGTAATCTATACGACAAGAAATAGCTTGGGCAAATTCAAGCAAAGCCCCAAGAGATACAAAAATTATTAAAACTGTTTTTAATGCCATAGCTTATATAGCTATAGAGGCTCTTGGAAAATGTAAAATAATTAGTACGAAACACTAACAAATTTGTCGGCGAAAAAATGAAAAATGTGATAATGAAATCATGCTCTGTACTAATTTATACTGTATGTGGATTGGACTTAATTGCTTCTATTTATTAGTCCAGTAACATTGAATATATTTACGGACTTATTTATTTACATAAAATTGATAGGTATCTCTTAGAATGGAATCCAATTACCTACACTGAAACTTCGTCATTGGACAGATTGTTGATAAAAACTTCATAATCCCGAAAAAAATCTTAGAACGGAATCCAATTATTCCAATTACCTATACCAAAACGTCGTCATTCGACAGATTGTTGAAAAAACTTCATAATCCCGAAAAAAATCTTCTCATAGGAAATTTAACCTAAAAATTACAAATGAGAAAAAACATAGAAAAGCAGAAGTTTCTTCCCAATTTTTATCGTCATCCAGATCGTTTTTCGCCTTCATATTTTGGGGACAAATAGAAGAAGTGATTCCCTCTCCCACAAAAATATAGGCTTTTTCCAATCTGTATTTAGAGCAAAAGTAAATATAAGCTGATTGAACCCAATCATATAAATGGAAACTAACCTGACGGCCATCCAAGATAGAAAAACCCGAAATTATGACATAAAACAAAAATTAAAGAATGACTTACTTTCATCTTTATCCCGCAGATCGTGTTTAACCTCCTATATAAACTATCCCGAATATGGCAAGGAAGTTTTATTTTTTGAATATACCAACTTAAACAAAAAAAAAACGTGATTTGAGAACGACCTAAAAACTAAAACAGCTACTCATCCAGGTACAGAACAACCAAAATTGATGAAACGACAGGATCAACGACCAAGTCTAAGAATAAACCATGAGTGCACTGACAATGCAATAAAAATGCTAACAATTTGATACCGGGATACCTGAAAGAAGAAACAGACTATAAAATATACATCAATCATCACACTAAATAGATATTAGAGGGCGAATTTGAGAGACAGAAACGGCATCAAGAAGGTATTTAGGACTGAAAAGCAAAATAGACAAACCTCAACAAGGTATAGGAAGAAGAAAACAATTTCTGAAAAAGAAACATACAAAAACCATATTGAGAAATATTGAACATTATCGACAAAAAGAACGAACAGTAGAAGAATGAAGTCCTCGAAATCTTAAAACGGAAACTAAGTCTGTCTACTCAGTAACAGTAACTATTGACGTCTTGAGGAATCAAACATCCGAAAATGGCAAAACTTGAAGCAATGAGAGAAGCGGTTCTTCAACATAAAAAGATACAGCGTCAAAATAACCGCAATACCGCCAAACAATGAACAACCTATTGCAACAGACAAATTTCATTAATTACAGAGAAGTGGCATTTGAATCTGCATTAGCTGAAACGCATAACTGAAAATGCTCTGGGACAGAGATCTATGATAGCATGATAACAACAAAAAATCGCGTTTATACCTACGCCCTGTAGTAATAAAACAGGATACATTTGAATTATTCTGATGCTGCTGACATATTCTTGAACAATTACTGGGAATAATTGTGTGTCCTTTCTTCGGAACCGCCCAAGCAGGGAATTTTGATTCCTGAAGAAATTTACTTACTTACCTTATAGAGCGGGCGCTCCAAGTAGTTGAGTATGTAAAATATGAGGACCGGCAATACTACTCAAATTCGTGTTCCTGTGATCTTGAAGAATGGGAAAGTACATCTTGCCGGCAGCTGGAGTGGTCCCTAACTCTCCTGCCATTTCCCAATGCAAAGTTATATGGGAAATATCACAATTTCAACTCATTTCACAATAATTCCTATTGATTGTATCTAAGGCTTTCTTTTCAAGCACTCCAAATAATTCTACCACTTGTTGGATATTTTGGCAATTCTGCTCCAAAATATACACAAGTAAAGGAAGACTGCGAAATGTACAGGGTCATGGAACGACGACTGAACAGGGGCTTATTTTTGACCTTCCCTGTTCTTGTAGTTTTGAAAAAAATCAAAATAGCCAATTGGCATATTTTTTTCTGGAGAATTCAAAAATGGTACCAAAAAATAATTTGAACTAAAAACTAAAGAGTTACGCCATGGATTAACTGTTTTTCAAATGAAACACCCTGTTTTTTATATAATTTCTGGAAAAGTCGCATTTTTAAAGTCTATTCTGTTGAAAATATTTGATATTCCGATAGCTGTTTTTATTTTATTTTGATGTTTTACCCTTAACAATTTTAGCTTTACCTGTTCAATATATCTGTGATGACGACAAAATACAAAATATGTCAAATTTAAAGATAATTCCCCAAGTTAAAAATAATATGTACGTCAGATGGTTTGCATTTGCATTTGCCAAGGGCTACAGTACAAACATATATTTGGCAAAATGCACATCAAACTCAATTAAGACCCATCGATTATTCTCCATTTGGCTATGAAGAGAGCAATGGTAACTTACGTCCACGACAAATGACAATGTTGCCTTTGCCAGAATCATTGATTCAGCCTTGTAAATGTACGTCCAATTGTTGAACAATGTCGTGCAATTGTAAAAAGACAAAATCACAGTGTATCTCATTGTGTAAATGCTTAAAAAATGATTGCCTAAATAAAAATTAATAATTATTTATCTCGCTTTCATCATTTCTATTTGTATTTGCTGAGTCTTTTTGTAAATTTTTTTAAATAAATCTTTAATATCATTTTGTGGTTTTTTTGTTGGTAATTTTGAACCCACGACTCCTGGGATTCCGGTCCAATGGTCTAGTACAGTTTGATTTGTCACAAACTTTCAAATAATAATTATAATAATATTAAATGCACCGCTGTAGCTATGTCACCATACCTCTTGAGCAATGGACGGAAACCCAGGGTCGTGAGTTCAAATCCCACTAGCAACAGCAAATTTTAACAAACTTTTCTATTTAAAACCCTGTCGTCTTTTTCACCATAAGAGCAAACTGAATTGGAACTATTTATAATAGTCGTTAAAAACACACACATAGCATACACTCCATGGAATTCCTTTATAAGTGAGAGGAGAGGGGATAGAAAAAAAATGGACCAAAAACTGAGCCGGCAAGATCCGGATTATTAATCTTTGACCTTTTCTCAGCTACAATCCATTGATAAAATGCGGTCCTCATATTATGCATACTCAAGTCCGTCTAACTCCTGGTCTATTATATAATATTGCAATCATGACAACTTACGAATTTTGTTATCAGGTCATAAAATAGTTGCAGTAAAAATAAATCTTTGAATATTGGGTACCTAATCCTAAATTACCATAATACAATATAGTTATGAGGCATACGTTAATTACATCTACGTGCATTTTTCGTGCTTTACTTTTTACCCGTAAATGGCCTAATATGGAATGAAACTATATCTTTATCCGTAGAATGTGGTAATTATATGAATGTACGTGTATAATCATAAATTAAATGACCATAAAAACTTTTCTAATAGTTAGATAACAATAATTATTCTTTGCTTAGATAAACAATAATACATCTCGTTTCAAATAAATTTAAATTAACGGGTTTCAACGAACGCCCATATTTCGGAAAATACTGGGAAAGAAATTTGGGGAAAAAGAAATTCTTGATTGAAGTGTTCATAAGAAAATTCTGGAAACCAGTTCCACATTTCGCCGCAAGGGGTATATTTGAAATTCAAGTTTTCCACCGAAAATTCCCACATCTTCATAGGCGATCACTTGATACCGAGTATGATTATCTTCTATTCCATTCTTATTGTCGTTGAATGTGCGTTTTTTGATGGCTACATAAACCAATTCTAGAGCCGCACTCTCTTCCACAGTAACTTGGAGGAATCAGTCTCTGGCAGCATTGTCTCTTCCTATGTTCTCTCGCTCCTTCCTGCGGTCCCTCTTTTCGGTCTCGTGTTTGCGTCGCTGTTCTTCAAACGTTTGTGAGAGCCTATCAGTTGCCGTCGTCTCTCCTTTCTCAGTTGCTGGTATCGATGCGGCACTTTGCCATATTTTCCTTTAGAACATCTTTGTACAGCGTTTTTGTTGATCTACTTGAATTAGTTTTCCCTTATTCAGTTGACTGTAGAGATGCTGTCGTGAAATACGTGTTTCGGGCATGCGGAGGAGGTGACCTGTCCAGCGAAGTTGGTACTTAATTAATGATGAGGGCTTCCATGCTAGTTGTTTTGGCCTCCTCTAAAATTAAAACAGTAACGTTTGTTCGTCGGTCTTGCCATTTAATCCGTAAGATCCTTCTTAGGCATCGTTGGTTGTATTTTCCTAGACTTTTTATGTGTCTTCTTGTAGGTGGTCCATGTTTCGCAGCAACAGTAAATGTTGGTATAACAACTGCATTGTAGACACGATGACGGCTGATGGGATTGTTGAAGACTCTCTCTAGAAGTTGCTCGAACGCCTCGCTAGCACACTCCAAGCTATGTTGGATTTCAGCATCAAGGTTGCATTCGCTGACAGATGGCCCCCAAGGTATGGGTAGTGTTTTATGTTCTGCAAAGAATATGGTCATTTATAGTTATATTTGCTGTACCTCGGTTGGGTCTAAAGCCACACTGTGTCTCTGAGAGGTTCTCTTCAGGAGTTGGGATTAAACGATTTATTAACATCCTGGCAAAGTATGTTTCCCGCAACACAATGTAAAAATATTCCTCTGTAGTTTCCACATTGACTATTGAGCCTTGTCTCCCTTTTTAAAAATGGTTACTATGGAAGCATCTCTAAGTCCTGCAGGTATGCATGGTCTTAGTAATCCATGTTTGACTTATTAGGATGTGGGTTGGGGGACTTCGTGTGGGGCCCTCTTGTTCAAAGAATTCAGCAGGAATGCCGTCAGTACCGGCCGAATTATTGTTCTGTAGTTGTCTGATTGCCTTTTCAACCTTGTCTAACCTGGGACTCCGCTCTGTTCTTGTTGTATTGGTTTATGTGAAATTTCGTTGAAGATGTCATTAATAATTTGTGATTCTCTGTTAAGTAGTCCCTGAAAGTTTTTTTTCCAACGTACCTACATATTTGGTAA